TATTAAATTTTTTCCTGTATTTTTGATCAAATAAATGTAGCCTTGATGAGCAGAAGAAACTCCTTTAAAAAACATTAACAATTTTCTGATCCCAAACTTTTGAACGGTAGTGTATATACACTGAACAAAATTATAAACGCAACACTTTTGTTTTTGCCCCCTCGTTGCTTTGCAGCCTGAAATGAAGATGGACAGTGTTTGTTTTGTCCAGCTGTATTTAATAAAAAAAATAAATAAATAAATACTTGAAATTAACTAAATGTAATAAAATGAAATATGTATATATATATATATATATATATATATAAAACATTTTATTTCAATTACTTGAATGGGCAACATTTCTCATTACAATAAACTTAAGCTTATTTTATTTCATCTTGATGTCAAGGCAACATTTCTCATTTTTGTTTAGTTGAACCACTAAAATAACTAAAATTTGAAATTAAAATTAATTACAACTATATATTTAAAACAATGAATGGAATAAAAATGACAAAATTACTTAAATTACTTTAATTAAAATGAAAATAGAAAATATGAAGAAAAAAAAGAACTATAATAGTATATCAGTGAAAATAACACCGGTTCAAATGCACAAAAATATATTTTATTTTGAGTGATTTTTGTATCATGTTTAAGTACGTGTCAGCCATATTGACAAAGATTATTAATGTTGTGTTCAAAGGGGCCCGTTATCGGTTTCCTCCTTGATCTCAAAGCAGATGTCCTTGTATCGATCTAATTGATGCTGCCTGTTGTCCAGAAGGAACGACACGGGAATGATTGATTCTGTTCTCCTTTCAGAGCCGATGGACTGATTGATGTGTGCGCTGTCAAACCCTTCGCTAATACGCCTTATCATTCGCTATTCCACATGCATTACATGCAAACCACCACGTTTTTAAGGTTAGGCATTGGTAGGTCAGATTCCGATCAAGTACGAGCCTTCCTTTTTTTATTTCCTCCTGTCTCCCTTCATCCGTGTTGCAGATGAGCAGATTGCATGCTAATGCAGGGGCTGGAGGTGTTCTTCACAAGTGTCCGCTTGGACGGCCGCCACGGCTCGGGGACAGAGAGTCTGGATGACTCACAATCCTCCCGGCACTGTGGTTATTCTCTTCAATTAATTGGTCCACTTAAGGCCACTTCACTCCAGTCCTGATTGTGGAGAGTGAAGCTCCTCGTTTTGGTCTCTGGAGCTTCTTGTCTAATACCGTCTGATACCAGGATACTGTGACATGGAGTTGAAATTTCTGTAGATTGCAGTTTTTGGTTTATAGGATTACAAACTGGCATTATGGTGTTCATAAATTGATTATATATATATGAAACGTATAGTTCCAACTCTAAAATTGGATCCGCTGCGTTTGAAATCTTGCACCAAGTTGCTACATTGTCTGAAAACTCTAATCAGCTAGATGAGCACTTGGCAAAAGATTTGTTTATTGTGAATAATGTCATGAATAGGTGATATAAATTTTAAAAAATTATAACCTTAATTGTTAATTTAGCTTGATGCTTGTGTGCCCTTTATCATGGTAAACTCACAGTAAAACATGGTAATTCGTGGAATGTTGCTTTGATTATTTTCTTGTGTATTGAAGAAAACCTAAAGACTGGTAATTACATTGACCTTTTTGTCATCCTGTGCTGAGGACATTTAGTTGGATGGTTATATTCAGACATATTTGGTTGGTTTTGCCCTTGTCTTTTGTATATTTGATATCAGTTCGGCCCAGAATGCAGCTCTGCAGTTTTCTCAGGGCTAAGTCATGTCAGCTGGCAGTCGTGCTTTATACGCTTAATATAACTCTCTTTAAGTTCTGTCGGCAGGTTAATTGCATGTTAGCTGAAGGTTATTTTATTATGTTCCTCTTTTTCGTAGCGGCGTCTCCTCCACTGGAGATGAGAAGGACAGAGAGAGAGGAAAGTAGGGAAGGGGGAGGGCATGATTGTGAAACGCAATCCTATCTTAATCAGTGGCTGTGGGTCAACAGTGGCTGTTAATGCAAGGCCTAATGGGAAACGTGCCTGTGGTCCTGTGGAGAGGATTGTGTGTCGTCCAGTGGAGTGGACTGGAGTGCTGCTGGCGAGGGGAAGCGGACCACAATCACGGTGTTTCTGACCCCCGTTGTCCTCTCGCTGCGGCAGATTGCGCCGTTTCCCTGTCACCTTCATCAGCACTTCTTTGTTTTGTTTTGTTTTAGGAGTGATTTGTCCTCCTGTCTGTTCTCATGCTCTCCTTCTCTATCATATGGCTGTTAACCCACAATCTCTCATCCAGTGATCTGTTCAACAACCAGCTAGTCACTTAAAAATGAATAGCTTTTTCAAAACAGGTTGTTCAGACTTGCAGCCTTTCTGGGTAACATTGGAGTATGGAGTATATGTGGTGTTAGTGCCTTTATGATAGTTTTTACAAAACGTACATACTTATATAATGGTACTTTACAGGAACTGGGTTTGCAATAAATCCCTTTAAAGTTATTTTAGATGGCCTTTCTTTAGTAGGGAGTACCAGGATGAAAATACACCTAGTTACGCTACAACAGGCTTAAGTGAGATACGGTTCATTTGAATTGAATGTAATGTCCCTCTTTCTCTCTCTACAGTGCCGGGGCCTCCCTTTCTCTCTGTCAATCAAAACTCAGAGACTACTGCATTAGTACGCTGGCAACCCCCTGATTTCTTCGCTCCGGGTCTCGAGGTGCAGGGTTATCGGCTACAGTTCGGCCGAAAGGACGTGAGCCCCCTGGCCACGCTGGAGTTCGGCCCTCAGGAACTGGAATATTCCATTAGCAATATCCACCGAGGGGCCACGTACATCTTCAAAGTGTCCGCCAAGACCAGATCAGGATTTGGCGAAGAGGCTACCCGAGAACTAAAAGTCCCAGAAGAGGTTCCTCGAGGGTATCCTCAAATAATCGAAGGGTCTAACATTACCTGCTGCTCTCTCCAATTTGCCTGGTTGCCTCCGGTATTGGCAGAGCGCAACGGCGCTATAACAGAGTACACGCTGGCTTACCAGGAGGCCGGAACAGCCGGTGGACCCAAGGAACTGCATCTGCCGGCAAGCGAGAACAGCTACACCCTCAACAGCCTGAGGCCCAACGCAGTGTACGATGTGAAAATCCGAGCGCACACCAGTGTAGGTCCAGGGCCCTACAGCCCACCGATCCAGTATCGAACAGTGGCCTACGAAGCAGGTACGGGTTGCTCATTTCCCCGCCTCAAGGGACAAACCTCTACAATGCAAGCACCCTACACCCGATTATATAAAGTTCTCTGGGAGCCACATACCTCACTAACACCCTCCCCCACAACAAGGTAAAATAAGTCAGTAAGTTGAAGTCAGTCAGTTTTGAAAGGGAAGGAGCGTCAATTTTTGCGAGGTAAGTGCCGATTGGTCAGACACGCCCAGCACATTCACTCATACAATCACAAAACTCCCCTAGTATTTCAAGGTAGGCGAGAACCACGTCAAGGAGATCCCAGATCTGAAGTCGAATCAGGCACATTTGTTTATTTTGTTTGGGTTTTCTTTTGAATTTTTAGTTTTGTTTTTTTGTTTAACAGTTCCTTTTTTCTGTACTCACCTTTCCCCCCGCTCCCACACTGGGATGATTTGCAGCATGGCGTCCCATGATGCACTGCTAACAAGTGTGGGCATGACAACTGTGTTTGGGGTTTGTCCTCGTTCCTGCCGGGCTTTCTGCCACGGCAGTGCCTATCCAAATTCGAGAGCACGCAGCAGTGGGTTACTCAAACATAATGTGGGTTCAGCTATTCTGGAATCGTTCAGGGGGGATTATGGGAACTGCTTGCCAAATGTTCTTGTTGGGGCGGCACTGCTGGGCCAGGGCAGGCAAAGTACTGTGCGATCCTGTGGTTCTGTGTTCACCAGTCCAGTCTAGTGTGCTGTTTGTCCCAACTGAGCGCCTCCCCCCCTCCCCTTCACAGCTAACTCCACACACCGCTCACTCAGAGGGACCAAAGCTCCTCTCCTCTGGGGGAAAACTGGTCGCAAGCATCGAACACTCTGTCAGCCTTCTTTCCCTTCAGTCTTGTTGTATTTTTTCCATTTCTGAAGTGTCTTTCTCAATTTGTTTCCTCCATTCACCTCTGGACAGATGTTCCTAAGAACTTCACCGTGAAGCTGGTCACCAAAACTACGGTACTGCTGACCTGGAGGTTTTCCGATAGCCGCTTCCCGTACCGCTGTATGGTAAGCAAGCTAATGAATCCTGTTTTGTTCATAAAATATCAACATTATTGCAAGGATCTGACTTAATTCATGATGTTTTTATGAACAATTTAACAATGCACATTGGTCCACAGATTGAGTACCACCGGCAGAAGGTTGACATTGACGCTAGGATGACCAAAGCTCTCATCACCAACTTGCGACCCAACAGCACCTATGAGTTCAGAATCACCTGCCAGGAAAGCAGCGACGGTGGACCCAAACACAAGCTCATCGCACGAACTGCACCACCTATTCTGGTCCGAAAGCCAGAGTTGGACCTGAAAAGAGAGCCAGACAGTACGCTGACCATTGTCTTCCCACCGCTGGAATCCAAAGAGTTGATAAAGTGAGGAAAACCAAATGCCGTTCTAAGCCAGAAACGCATTCTACACAACCATGTGAATGCAGACACAAGCAAATTAGAAACGTGGGGGTCCTTTAAAAGTGTCAATGTTGGAGCCATGACAAAAAACTCACAGTAGAAGACAGTTTGCGCTATTGTTTGCTATAGTGCCCCTTGTGGCCATACTGAGAATGCAGTACATACGTAAGAACTGCATTTTCTGCTTGTGTTTTGAAAAGCAACTTCAAGCTCGCTTAGCTTGTAACATCTGCGTTCGCATACTTGTGTAGGGAATTTTTCAGGTTTTGTTGGAAATCGTGTAGCTAGATGTTCCGATTTTTATGCTCTGACAGATACGGCACAGAAAAATTATCACATTTGCTGGATAGGCAGTTATTTAACTAGCGATTTTTGTAATGGTTTTATGCACCATCGCGACCTCTTGCAGGGCGGTCTATGTTGTGGTGGTTCCTCTGAAGAAGGGAAGAGGTCCGATCCGACACATCAAGACCCCAGATGAACTGGACCTAGAAGAGGTGAACATAGCTTCTTTTCTCAAGTCTTTGTCCTTGTGTCGCAGACACAGTGGAGCCAAAGCCATGGAAAGTGTTCTCGCAGGAGCATTGTGGGAACTTTCCCAAGGGGTTTGTCAGGGAGAGGGGACAATTACACAGCTCTCATCCTTACCCGCTGGCAAACTGCCAAGCTTAGCCACTTGACCTTGAGCTGTGGATGGCGAATGGGTGCCTGTATTCTGTTTAAGTGTTATTTGACTTGGTGAATGTTTGAGTAAATAACCCATTTTGTTTAGCACCACTGTATAAGCCGCTAACTGTTTGATAGTTTGAAAGTTTTGGTTGTGTTCCCAGAAGAATCAAACAGAATATGCTGTGTTTTAGATGTTGATTTCAGTTCTTCTTAAGCAGTCTTCTCTCCCACAGCTGCTGGACGACAGAAGACTCGGTCAACGTCACGCTCGAACCACCCGTCAGCTCAAGCAGGTGGACGGGAAGCGGCCCTACATCGCTGCCAGCTTCAAGCCCTCATCCATGCCGCCGTCCTTCACCCTGGGCAACCAGATGGTGTACAGCGGCTTTGAAAACAGGGCTCTGGACCCCGGGCAGGAATATGTGTTCTTTATCCTCGCCGAGCTCAACACCACCGGAGGGGTGAGTGAAATTTAAGGAAAAGCCTTTTTAATTCGAGTTTTAAGACTCGTGCAAAGTGGTGAACGCAGATAGCTATAACCTTTTTTTGCTTTTGTGCAGAAATCGTTTGCATCCAGTCCCTACACGGATCCAGTCACGGCTCCTGACGTGGACCCTCAGCCCAAGGAGACGGGAGGGGATGGACTCATCTGGGTGGTGGGGCCCGTTCTCGCTGTGGTCTTCATAATCTGTATTGTGATCGCGATTCTCCTCTACAAGAAGTGAGTGGACTTTTGACATGCAAATAAATATAAACTTTTTAGATTGTACCATTTACAGGACCACTCAAAATGAGAACTAATTTAAATTATATTATATTATATTATATTATATTATATTATATTATATTATATTATATTATATTATATTATATTATATTATATTATATTATGTGTGTGTGTATGAGTGTTGTGTGTTGTATATATATATATATATATATATATTAGAATTAGATCAATTTTAATTCTAAATGTCTTTATGAAACATTTTAATTAAAAATAATATAAATATAAAAAAACTATTGTTATATTGTTTTATTAAATTGTTTTATTAAAAGTTATCAATTTTAGTATACTTTTATTCAAATTGATAAATAATAGAATACATTATTATATTAATTAAAATATTTTGTAAAGACATTTATAATGTGTATATTAATATAATGTATTTATAAATTTCTGTTTCTGAACCAATAAAATTAAATCTAAATCTAAAATTAAATCTAAATCTAAAATTGAAAGTAAATATAATAAAATACTATAGTTTGTTTTTATTCATTAAAACTGTTTGACAAAAAAAAGACATTTATAACTATCATATTTTTATTAATACAATTTAATTATAAATGTAAGTTTTGGTCACAATAAATTCAATAGAAAATAAATAAAAGACTATTTCCTATTATTATTCATTAAAATATTTAAACTTATTTTAGCCCTCAGCATTGGCATAGTTTGGAGAAGTTCAAAGCGGAGCTGAGGAGAGCAATCAATTCGAACGTATCAAAAATTAATGAGGTGATAGCTAATAGCTATTAGCTTCAGAGCGCGGCCAAAGCAGACCGCTTTGACTTTTAGCATGCAAGTGTGCTGAAACTCAAAGGGAAGCTATTCCTCATTAGCGCCTCAAGAGCCAGGTTAAAAGCGGACGACTCCTGGCTAGTATTTCCTCCCTCGGCAGGACCTTGAGTTTGACCTCTGGTGTCTGGAGATCGTATAGCCCCCCGGTGGGCACAAACACACATCTTTTACAGGTCTGTCCAAATGCAGATGAGCTAATCTGGCTCCGCTAGCCTGCCCTGTGAATTTAAATGTACTCTATTGATTTTTTTCCTCTCCTCTCCCTTGTTCTCTTGTTGTGTTTTCTCCCTTTTATATATTTATTTCACTTCAATGCTTTCTTTGGAAGCAGCAAGCCTGACAGGTAAGGCTTAGCTATACTTTATTGCTGTTTTCAAGGGGGCAAAAGAAAACAACCTGCCTCAGCATAAAAGCAACTTTTAATTAGATGGCAGAGAAAAACAGTGCAATGAAATGGCGGGTTCAACCAATGTGCCCCTCGGCTGTGGTGTTTGTGGACATAGCTTTGTTTGTGCTAGCATCTAGCTTCCTCATTTATAGACTATAAACAGTGTTTTCTGCACTGATAAATACTGATAAACATAGTGTGCAAAGATTTTTATTAATACCTTTAAATAGTATCCAGTTAGAGTTTGTCTGTGTGTGTGTATTTGCATCATAATGTTATTTTTTCAACAAAAAAAATATTATGATGATATTTCATATTTTCATATTTTATTTGTTGCATGTATTAATTTTATTTTATTTTTAAGTTTAAGTGTGTGGCACTAATTGAATCAGTCAAATTGTTTGATGAATCATTCTAAATCAGTAGTTATTGATCTGAATCATGAACTGAATCGATCAGGAAACACTGGGTGGTCATTTTGTGCACTTATGATTTGATTTACTTGTTCTTTTTCTGTCTCGTTTGTTAGATTTCATTTAGTCCTTGCATTTTTCTTTCCTTTTTTAAAGCAGCAAACGTAAAGAGTCAGAGCCACGGACGAAATGTATGCTGAACAACGCCGATATCACCCCTCACCATCCCACAGACCCGGTGGAGATGAGACGAATCAACTTCCAAACCCAAGGTATATCCATGTGAACAAACAGCCTTAATCACTTTAAACATGAACTTTTCTCTGGTTCATCTCACGAAACCTGTCAAGACCATGTCATATTTATTTTTAGGTCATATTATAGAAAATAGAGCTTTTTTTGAATTTCAACATTATTTTCTTATCATCCTTCAGATTCTCCTTTCAAACATGCACTTTGAAGTGCGCAAGAGTGACATAAATAGTCAATTAACTGTCAGTTTCAGGCGTGCCTGCTGTTATTTCTAATTAGTGTCTTTACTGATGCAGTTTATTAGTTAATAATTGCATACAGCCTGTCAGTCATCTTTATTTTATATTTGGTTCATGGTTTTGAACGTCCAAGCAGTTTCAGAGACGTTTTTGCCATTGCCGTCCTCTTCTCGTTCTAAAGCAGGCAATCTTTTGTTTTGTACAAATCCTTCAGTTCAAAGACTTCATTTTTGCCGGCTTTGAACGCTAAACCTAAGCTTTTAAGATTGACGTTTAAGATTTACATAGATTTGGGAGATAGAAAAGCCAAACAATGTCTATTACATATGTCTATTATATATATAAGTCAATGCACCAATGAAGAAATTTTAAATCGCTAACGGATAATTATGTTAATAATTGTTTAAATATTATTTTTATATTTAATTTTTTTTCTTTATGCAATTATTTTAATGTTGTAACTTTCGACTATCATAATGATTTATATTAATGTTTAATATTATTATTTATTTTTGTTGATACAGATAACCGATAATAATTGTTGATTTTCTAATTAAATATTTATATATTTATTTCTATTGCCTGTATACAGTCTCCAATATATTATGCATTCCTATTTATAATGCGAATTATAATTAATCCTGAATTATAATGCTTATAATTACTAATAACCGATAAATACAGATAGCTGCTAATTATATCTGTTCCATTTTTTAAAAATATTTATTTATTTATTTCCATTGGCTGTATAATGTCACCAATATATTATGCATTCCTATTTATAATGCTAATTATAATATTAATCCTGAATTATAATGCTAATAATCACATCTAACTGATAAATGCAGATAACCGATAATTATGTTTATGCTGTTTTTTTAAATGTATTTATGTTTGTATTTATTTATTTATTTATTTATATTGGCTGTATAAGTCACCAATATATTATGCATTCCTATTTACAATCCTAATTAAAATATGAATCCTGAATTATAATGCTTATAATCACATCTAGCCGATAACCGATAATTATGTCTATGCTGTTTTTTGAAATGTACTTATTTATTTATTTATATTGGCTGTATAAGGTCACCAATATATTATGCATTCCTATTTACAATCCTATTTAAAATATTAATCCTGAATTATAATGCTAATCATAATTACAGATAACCAATAAAAACTGAAAACAGACACTGAACTTCCAAGCAGCTTCCGAAATGTTTTTGCCGTCGCCGTCCTCGTCTCATTCTAAAGCAGACGATCTTTTGTCTCGATCAAATCCTCCAGTTCAAAGAGTGTCCTCATTTTCGCCAGCTTTGCACGCTAAACCTAGCCTGACATTTTTCTGCAGCTCCTTGAAGTGGCGCGGAGTGAATTTGTCGACAGCGTCTCTCTCTTGTCCGCTCTCCCCATCAAACAGCTCTCGTTTCAAAGGCGGTAATCTCAGCGCGGCCCCCGAGGAGGTCATAACGCCGAGAGCTGTCCTTCTTCAGCCCAGATAAAACGAGAGCCAGCTGAGAAATGGAGGTGGAGAACGCAAGAAAGCCACTATCACCACCTCATTTCCCATAATCACCTGTCCATTGTGGGGCATCTTGTCCGGCAGCCGCCTAATAACACATCTGAAATGAGCCCGGCGCACTTTCATCTTATTTCTCGCCTCTTTCATCCGCTTCAACACTATAAAGAGGCTCGCCTCGTTAAAGCCATCCTCATTGGACTTTATTAATTGAGGAGCGTTCAATTTGCGTCATTATCTCTTTGCTTGGTGAATTTTCATTTAAGTGGACATTTTAGCCCAATTAACTGGGACGGGGAAACATTTGCGACATTTCCATTAGCTAATATGGGCCATTGTTCAAAGCAGCACACTTGAGTTCACATGGATGACTGGCACATATGGCGCACAACTTATCCTAATGAGACGAGACGCTGACATTCGGTTTGTTTCGTAACATGTTTAGGGTCAGGTTCTGCTCAATCCTTCTGCGTCCACTTCAGTATGTTAGAAAACAAACATATTTATTAGCAAACTGTTTAATGCGACACGTTCACAAACATTCACGGTTTTTCCAGGCCAATTATTAATTTTGTCTATAAATAGAAGATTTGTATTCCTTGCCCCTATCCTATTTAGTTATTTTTTTAGGCTGCTGTCTAAAATCTTGCCACAATTCACTGTTTATTTTTTTCTTTATTGATTTCTTCATTCTGTTTTACTCAGAAATAAATCATATTATGGAAGAATAATTGCGTTTATATTGACTTTTAAGATTTACATAGATTTGAGAGGCTTAAGAGTCAAACAATGTTTTAAAATCATACACCGTCTAGAAGCGATGCATCTATGCACCTAATTTTAAATTGATAACTGATCATTGTTAATAATTGTTTTTAATATTAGTTTTTAATTAAATTTTATGTTAATTGTTACCCAAAAAAATCTGTTATTTTAATTAATGACTGGCATAATGATTTATATTAAAGTTTAATAATATTATTTATTTTTGCAGATACAGATAACCGATAATTATACTGTTTTTTATTCATTCTATTGGCTGTGTATGTCACCAATATACTATGCATTCCTATTATATTTATAAAGCTTACAATTATACACAACCGATAAATATAAATAACCGATAATTATCTCTATGCCGTTTTAATTATTTATTTATTTCTATTGGCTGTATATGGTCACCAATACATAAATGCATACCTATTTATAATGCTAATTATAATATTAATCTTGAATTATAAGGCTTGCAATCACACACAACCGATAAATACAGATAACCAATAATTATCTCTATGCTGTTTTTTATTTATTTAATTATTTGATTTTGTACATGGTCCCCAATATATTATGCATACCTATTTATAATGCTAATTATAATATTAATCCTTAATTATAATGCTAGTAATTATTTCAGATAACCGGAAAAAATTAAGATAACTGATAATTATCTTTTTTTAATCTTTTTTTTTTTTATCATTTAGTTATTTTCATTAACAGCCATTATCTTAGCCAACATAAAGCATTAAAAGTATATTGTGACTTTTGTTCGCAAAAGCACTGCTAATTCCAATGCTTATTCAGACCTGATCCACTCGCTAGCATGTTAATCTAGGTGTCGTGTGCCGAAAGTCATCACAGATGGTTCAGTCCTCGACAACAGAAGCTAAAGACGCTCCTCATGCGTTCACGCTTCAGACAGCTGGACAAACGTCAAGCGCTAAACTCTTGACCGTATGTCTTTTTACCGCTCGATCGACGCCGCCATCTGATATTTTGAGGATTTATTCTTTAAAAAACTACCATGGAGTTTGACGTGAATATTTGCAGTATAAACGGTATCTCCAGCGGTTCACGAATGTCTCAGGAACATCAGCGGCTGTGATGTTGGATGAAGGACGACTGATGTGTGAGTGAATGTCCTACTTTCAGCGTCTGACAGACAGCTTGGCGTCGGATCCAACGGCGAGGACCCTCGTGAGAATTACTACCTTCATTCAAAGCAAGGGTGGTCTGTTCTCCTGCCTGGTTAAAAATGCACAATATAGTCTGAAAAATTTATTGGAGGGAGAACATGAATAAAGGAGAAGTTCTATTTTCTGCTTATTAATTTCCTTGCATTTATCTTGTTTTCCCATTTCTTTCAGTCCATTTCAAGATTTTGTTCTCAACTAATGATCAGTACATTCAAAGAGGGATGCTTTTATTTTATTTTTTGCTGTTTGCTGTTTTTCACAGATTCGGGTCTAAGCAGTCCTGTCAGTGAAGCTGGTTTTGACTATGAAAGTTAGTGCTCACATCTCGCGCTGAGCTTTGGTGTTTTCTTATCATTTTTTAATGCGTCTGCCCCACATCCGGAATAATGGGTTGTGTTTTCCGACTACATTTGCATATGACACCCCCCCTTCAACAAACTTAACTGAAAATAAAATGTTACACAGTCAAAAAAAAAAAAAAACTAACTGCAGGAAATGATGTCACCCTCGTTAAACAATATAATTAGAGCTTATTTTCAAAGCTTTCAGAGACATTTAAATATTACACTTATTAAAGTGAAGAATGCAGTTTCTCCACTACAATAGTGAAATTACAAAAATAAAGCATACAACCTTTGCAAACACCCCTTACGATTATTCTTATTCTTACACTATAAAAGAGCTAACATGTGTAGCAAAACCTTGAGTATAACTTACCGGTCAAGAAGGAACCATATCGATTGAAACCCAAACCTCCCATCAAATTCCTCCTGTCAATGTTTAACCCCGTTTTACCCTGTTCTCTGTCTCTACATATTTTGGCAAGTCTTCAAATTTTGACTTGAAATTTTGCACTTCCATAACTGAATCTGAATTCCTTTTCGCATGTAATGGGTCAGCCATAGTCCCACACTGGCTAAACACCCTCTGGTTTTATGATTGACGGATCTGAGTGAATCACTCTAAAAGTTTTGATGGTGCCTGGGAGAACCCATATCCATGTCTATAAAAATAAATAAATAGCTATTAAGCGTAGCTTCTTCAGTTTTAGAACCTGCCCCTAAACTTGAGATTGGTCACATCACATGACTGTCTAAGTGGGCGGTTCATGTTCAGAATGTCTATAGTAAAGTGTAGGAGATTGATGACTGAAGGACAAAAACATTCACCTCAGTGAATGTTTGTGTGCAGATAACTGTCAGTCAGACTTCCCAGCATTAGCTTTACCAGTTCTGTGCTGGTCATAAGGGCATGTGTAAAGGTAATTCCCACAATTTTTAGTCTCCCTTGCTCTCTCGGTGTAAAACCAAACTGCATATACAGTGAGTGTTTCTAATCTGCCTGTCCCCTCAGGCTGGCCGTGCTCTGCAGTAGCATCATGGCAGAGGCCTCATAATGATGCAGTGTCACCACATAACAGATAACTATCAACAATACCCATTCATTTCCATCACCACATGCCTCTCTGTGTACGAGAGAGAGCCCGACAGAAACAATGGACCAAAACACTTAGCCGACAGACACATTCATCTGCCTGAGCACACACACACACACACACAAACTGCCGGAGCTGCGCTAATTCTCACTCCTGTAACCCTGGGAAAGTTAAAAGGAGTCGTAATTCAAATGAAATCTCATTAGCAATTGCTTTTCCTATATGAGGTGCATAATTTAGGATAAAATCAAGTATTTTTTGGCTTAAAAGACATCATGTTAGCCAACATCAATGTTTTGTTTTTAAATGTAACCTGGCCATATTTAAACTTAAATTGAAATAAAAAAGTTGTATAATTATAATTAATGAATATCTTAACATTTCAATAAAGAAATAATTGTTAATATTGTTTTAAAATTATTTTTATGTTTAATAATTAAAAAATTTTATAAACATATATAAATAACATTTCTACAGAATACACAATGATTTATATCTCTATTATGTTTCCAAGTCCTATAATCAATATCTTAATAATATCTTAGTATTTTAATATTAATATCTTAAAACAATAAAACAATTATTATGTTAGTGGTTTTAATATTATTTTAGAATTACTTCATTTTAATAATTATTTAATTTTTTAATGTATCATTTAATTAAATGGGTTTTTTACTGATAACAAACATAATTTATGTTAATGTTTAATATTATTTATTTTTATGGATACAGATAACTTATAATTATCTCTATGCTGTTTTTTTATTTATATTGATTTATATATTATTCATTCCTATTTATATTGCTAATTATAATATTAAGTATATTAATATATATAATAACTGTATACACAAAAGGCATTACAAATATAAGCTAACAGTGTGATTGCAGTTTTCCTAGACATTTGTTCTGCATTATGCATCTGTGGGAAGTTAAAATGCAAATGCGGTTTACGGTTTCATCTTAATTATGACAGCTTTTAACTTCCATTCGTAACACGGCTTTTGTTTTTTTCTGTTTATACTTCTGCTTGTTGATTGCTTTGTTCTCACTGGCTGTTGGCTGCACACTATTAATCCACAGTAAAAGCAGCTGATCATGTAGAGACGGCTCTGCTGTATGATTTTTACACAAGTCTCCACACATTCCAGCATCCTGTCCATTCAGACCCCCATTCCTCTCTCCACCGATGGGGTCGTTCTGCAGGCGGAGATAACGAGCTGAATTAATTAAACCCTCTGCAAACAATAGTCCGACATTTGATACATCCCTCCTGCCCCCCAGCGAGACAGAGGAACGAGAAACACGACTCCCTTTTTTGTTGTTTTTATGGGGAAATATACTGAGTGACTTTCCTTTTATATGTAAATGAACAATCGCATAAAATTGTTTCGCGAACCGCGGCAGCGGATATCAAAAAGATTTGTTATTTGCATCACCTGTCAAGCGCAAATAAGAGACTGAAAATATGTAATTAGACAGTTTGCATCTCTCATGCTCACTGATCTTGGGCTTGATTGCATGGGATAAAAAGACTGCAGTGGAGAGAGAGAGACACAGAAATCCTGGCAGAGAGAGCAGACAGGAAATGAACAGCAACAGGAATTTGTCCTTGAAAGAGTTTATATCCTATTGGGCCTCGCTTAGACTTTCTAGCGTCTTTCACATAAATACTTGAAACTCAATGTAGTTAATTATAAAAACTGATGAGGTCCTGCACGTAAAGCCACTTTTGTAACGTGTATTTAGTGCTTTCATCTGCCACAGAAAGGTAACGTCTTGGATAATCTTCATTTGGAGGCTTTTTACGGTAAATGTCGATGTGCAGTTATTTGTCACAAAGTTTGTCACAAAAAACGTTTTGATAACCAAAAAACCTTGTCATCTGCAGAAGTTAAAGCATTTTTTGCACCCCGATCGGATTAAATGTAATTGTTTCTTACATCTTGCAGAGAGAAAATTCCTAAGAACAAACAAATAACAGCTTATTTATGAACACGAGTAATTGTTGTTGACACAGAGCAAAGTTGAGAAACGCGTTGACATTGAAAAGCGCTAATCTTCCAAGTTTGTTGGGTTTTGATTGGCTCTAGATGGCCTTTCTCATTGCATTATGAAGGCTGTTAGTGTTTAGCATGCAGGTCTGATCTCAGGTTGTTTGCCAAAGTTGCCCTTCACATCTTTTTCGAGAGTGCTTTGGCATATATTACCTTGGTTCACCTCAAGAGGGTAAAACTGCGTCCAGACTATCTTCAAGAGCTTGGCCAGGCTGACGAGGATAACATTTGTGGAGTAAGAAAACTGTTAGCCTCCAGGCAGTGGATGAGAGAAAACTGTTATTAGCATATTTTGATTGGCTCTGTTTTGCATGGAAGTCTGAAAACTAACAGCTAGAACTTTTTCGAGGCGTCTTGAGTGGCATTCGTGTCGTTTTTTGTCATAATGTCCAATTAGCAAGTGTCCTTTCTCATTCAAAGCCAAACCATTTGCGGCGTACAACATTACGAGAAGAAAAAAAACTGGAAGTGAAATTGAGGATGGCTAATGTGATTATGCAGATTATCCATGCTTAATTAAATCACAGTACTCTTCAAGGAAGACGTCAACATTTATCCAGCTTTTGACCTCGCATTGAAGAAAGTCCAATGCTCTATATAAAAATGTTGCCATCCATTTTAGGAAGAGCTTGTTGACGATATGTCTGTTTTCTGCCATAATACATTACTAATTCATAAGTGGATAAACTCCACAGCGAGAGACCTAGAAAGTTGTTAGTCTGAGCAAACAGCAAAACTAGTGCTTGTTTGAGGAAAGGTCTTGTAGGTTGTTGCAGGGTTAGCATGGGCGACTGCTTCCGTGACATGCTTGCTTAGCTTTGGCTGAACTGAAGCAAAGAACACAGCACTGCACTTTGCACCGGTACCATCGGTTCATCCTAACCCAGGCCAGAACTCTCGAATAAACCCCCTACCTTACCCTGATTACCCCCATCATCTCCCCTCCACCTCAAGAGCTTTATTTCCCATTATTGCGCAAATGAAGGATTACATAAGGAAATTATTGCAAGCTCCTGCCAAAAGGAAAGCTGTTAGAAATATTAAGGCTAGAGGTTTACTCCAGGGAAAGGCAATATTGTAATTTTCTACCTCTCGATCACTCATATTTTTCGTGTTTAGTGTGGAAGCATTCCAGTTTTTTTCCCCCAGAGCAGCAAGACAAAGAAAGCAAGAACAGTAAGTCCATATTTTGGTTATGTGCAAGACGACATGCAAATAAGACTGGTTATGAATCCTAGCATAAAATACAAGACAGAAGCGTGTGTCCTTTTGTGCTCAAGTCTACGGCCAACAGTCCCTGAATGCCAGAACTGCCTACTTGACAGGTTTACGGAGCAATCTTGATCCTGGAGGGCCAATTTCTTGAGGAGTTTTGCTATAACACACCTGCCTAGAAGTTTCTAGTGATCCTGAAGACCTTGATTAGCAGGTTCAGGTTAGTTCAATTTGGGATTAAGCTAAGTAGGTGGCCCTCCAGGAGCAGGATTGGACACCCCTAGTTTAGGGTAACGTAGGGTTAACCCTGCATAAGGAAACCTGATACCATTCTCCTATTCCAGACACAATGTACATAGCTTCAAACTTGTAGTGTGCTTTTGGCCTTTTGTCCCGCCTTGGGGAAATAGAAGTTTTCAGATTTTGCATTTGATTAAATCTATTACGTTTCAGCTCTGCAGACGTGAACATATTTCTCAAGGGCAGATCTTGGGGGTTGTTTCAATTTATTGTTCCCGTGACTCAGTTTGAAAGGAGATTTGTTTGGTTTCACGAAGGCAATCAAGCGCATTATTCCCCTTGTCTTAGCCTGCTGAGGACAAACGTATGGTTTGTCTTACCAACCAAGTATATGAAGTGTCCTCCTGCTTGTCGTTTTTAGCTACAGCGGAGTGAGAAAGAAGAGATTTCATTGCTGTGGCAATACTGCAAAGCTATTAGGAACCATTTGACCCGCTATAATTTTTGTAATTGGTCTGGGGTTTTTGCAGCACCTTAGCAATCAACCTTAGGTCTTTTCCTTCATATTGTCTGTATAAATGCATCCAGTTTTTTGTATTAGGACAATCCTGATTGGTCCGATTGATAATGTAGAGCTCTGGCCTGGTCACACTGTGTCTCTAACATCACCGACTGTTCCTCAATCCAGTCCCCACCTCATTGTCTCACCTGCTTGGGTGTCTTCCCCTACCCCTGATCCCATTTTTCCACTAACTTTTGGGATTTGGCTTCTGACTAGTGTTGTCAAAATCGGTACTGAAATTTTTTAAATCTGACGATGCCAGCATTTTCTGGTAGCATTTTGATTCTCAAACAACTCTGATTGGCCATTGTGTTCACATGCTTAACAGCTATGTCTGTGATTGGCTACAGTGTTTGAAAATCCACACAGCAGTGCTCAAAATGCTAGCGGGAAATGCTGGTATCGTCACATTTTTCAAATTTCAGTTCTGACTGGTACCGACATCGGTACTTTTGACAATACTACTTCTAACTGTCTTTCTTGGCCCGTTGGTCTTTCTGACCTTTTCTTTCTGTGTCTTCTTCTCCTGATTGGTGCACAGGTATGATGAACCACCCGCCGATACCCATCTCTGAGCTAGCCGAGCACACGGAGCTACTAAAGGCCAATGACAACCTGAAGCTCTCCCAGGAGTATGAGGTACTGCATATTATACAGAAATACCATTTTATGTTACAAATAGGATTGTTAGCCATTTCAAAAGACAAGTGGGTTTTCCTGCAAAACAAATGCCAATTAATTGTTTTCAACATTTGCATGGCAGTTACTCACGTGCCATGGGGTTTTGCAGTGGCGCGGATGTCTTGGTTTGAAGTGCTGGCCTCGTAAGCGTAGCGGCTGCTGATTAGCCTTTGCTATTGCTGAATCAGCCTTCATTTGCATAGAGCAAATGTCGTCGTCCATCTTAAATCACAGCGTGCTACGGCAGCACTGCCATCAACATCCCCGGGGCTTAATGCCATCTTAAATGGCTCCCAGCGTGAGCCAGACCTGATATCTCAGCAGGAACATGGGCATGCTTGAGTTGAGCCAACCCGCTATCATTTTTGGGACATTGGCTTAGCATATAGATTAGCATTAGCTGCATATACTATCCAAATGAAGGAACATCATTCATAAACAGCTAAGCCTGAGTAGCAGATTGTTGAATAGTTTGTTTCTGACCTCAGCCATCTGCAAATAGGGAGTCATCAATGGCATAATCAGGATCACCTTCGATAGTTTCAGAGTTACATAAATTGATCAAACAAATTTGATCCGCTCTGGCTTCGTGAATAAGAAGGGGGTCCATGAACCCTTTGAGGTTTACAATGGAACTGCAAGGCCTTCATGAAATAATGCAAATTAAATTATTAAAATTATGTATTACAGTAAAAATGTAATGAAATATATTAGTGTAATATTTTTAAATAAAATATTTTTATGAATTTAATGTAAATAAATTATTCCATTTAAAATTTTTTATTAAATTTAAAATATTAAATAAATTAGTGTAATTTTTAAGATAAATTGTGTAACATTAAATCACATTTTCTCTTACCTTACAGATTAAAAGGAGTCGTTGCATATTTTATTTTTCTTTGGAAAGCTTGAAAAAATTCCTTAAAGGGTTACTCCACCCCAAAATTAGTAACAGTGTTATTTACTTGGCAGTCAATGGGACAATCACAAGCCTCCCGGTTTTCATCCAAAATATCTTAAATTGTGTTCCGAAGATGAAAGAAGCTTTTACGGGTTTGGAACGACATGGGGATACGTGATTAATGACAAAATTTTCATTTTGGGGTGGAGTAACCCTTTAAACTCAAATACATAATTCAAATACATAATTTAGGTCAGCTGAGAAAAGTGTTTGGGAACTGCTGCTCTAGAAGAAAAAACTGGACTGAATGTAGTTTATTAATCATCATAGTGTGTTAGCATGCTAATAGTAGCTGTTAAATCAGTGAGTGATGTCTATGAAAAACTGGGCTAGAGAAGAGAAAAAACATTAGAGTTGGAAGCTGATTTGAAGCAGATAAATGTGTTTGGCGCAAAGGGTTTTGGTCAGATATGAGGATGTGGGTTGGGATTTATGCAAAAACATGCTGTGGATTACCAAACTCCTGATTATGTCATCATGCTTCCGTCCATACACAATCCTTTAGATCACATCACAGTGTGGCATTTGGCTTGGAGGAGAACCAAACCAATCCGAGCTGTGTGCGCTGAAACCCACGGGCGGTTTGCAGGGTAGATGATAAGAGAGACGGGTTTGAGAGCACGGACAACCTGTGGAGGATCCATGCTCTGTTATTTGTGCCTGTAATCATCACAGGGTAAACAGTTACATCAAGCCCCTCATTGTGGGTTATTTAGTCCCAGTTTCAGCATGCAGAGACGGTCACCTAAATGAAAACATCCCTCAAGCTAGAAGAGCTGGGATGGAGCCATTGCCCGAGAACAGGCTCGGAATCATAATGGAATACTAAATTACCCCGACAGGGGAATAGAATATTTATTCAGAAATTCTCATATTGGGAATAATTCACCCGCTCACAGGAAGAAACAGACTCTTTTATCAGCGTTTCCTTTGCTATTATTCACTGTCCACGACAAAGCTACCTGACCGAATGCTGGTGAATATTTAAACGATAGCAGACGGCTTTTAATTACACTTTAATGTGTGGCTGTGATTGCGGCAGGAGGACTTTTATCTTGTTGCGAATGTTTATCCGAGCTGCTTTGTGCTGGATCCTCAATTCGCTAGTTTCCGTTAGTTTTAGCCCTCCCAGGCTCCGTGGCCTCACTCAACCCTGCTTTCTGAGTGTTGAACTCTCTTCTGTTTCTCTACCTTCTTCTGATGTTCTAGCGGATGTAAACTCACTCTCTTCTCACATTAGCATTCATGCCAGTGATGCTGAGGGATTGGGAAAAGCCCTGAGGGTTGCTTCACTCCGTTTTCTCTTTCCACAGTCCATCGATCCGGGTCAGCAGTTCACCTGGGAGCATTCCAACCTGGAGGTCAACAAACCCAAGAACCGCTACGCCAACGTCATCGCCTACGACCACTCCCGCGTAATCCTGGCACCCATCGAAGGTTGGGCAGAACTGCACACACACTGATTCTTTCAAAGAAAAGCGTTGCATCTGAAGGTTCCAGAATGACTGAACTTTCTTGTCGCCCACAGATGCATCTGGCTTCAAAAAGGCTGTTTATTTGAGAAATTTATTTCAGTGCAAGGTCCTAAAACCTTATAGTGTTTATCCGTATAAATCAATCAGCTTTCTTCCCTTCCCATGCAATTTTATTGTCTGCTCGTGCACATACAGGAAACTAGAGTCAGATAATTCACAAGCAGCCGAAATTGAACAGCCATATCCCAGAGTGCCTTTGGTTGAGGTATAGAAGCTATCAAGATTTTGGAAGAAACAGTGGAAAATCAGCAGAGATTCTGCTGTAATCTTGGTAAAATGCCCATCTTTTTCCATCCAGAGGCGACAATCCTCAATGCTCCTTCGTGCTGTTTACAGTTATCCCCCCCCCAGGTTCCTTCCCTCATGTCGCGTCACCTTGATTTTCGCCACAGTTCACCACGACCAATAACACGGTGTAACAGAATCATCACAAAGACAGTGCCCATAAATGCATAAATTAATCAAGTTCGAAATTTCCATTTTACAGTGCAGTGATTTCGCCATTAGACACAGCGGTGGAACAATTCGTGCAGGCAGCCGTTCTCTGTTCACTTAGCTATGACTAAAGCGTAACACTCCCGCGATCGCTTTGTGAGACGGGGAAGAGGCTTTTAATGGCATCCTTTTTTCCCCCTGATTGCTAATCGAACGCGGACCCCGATTAAATTATAATTACAAGTGACTTGTTTCAGAGAATTAATAATAATAATAATAATAATAATAATAATAATTTTTATTTATAATAATCAGATCACCATCCAGATCCATCAGTTGACCAGAGAGCTTAGATACTACAGCTTTAGAGCCAATCAGAATTACCTCAGTTTTAGCAGAGTTAAATTTAAGGTAATTTGCCTCAAAACTTGAGTTCCTTGATGCAATTTGTTAATGCAGGCGGAGGAAATACTGAGGTGGAAGGTGCGCTAGAATAAATTTGAATGTCATCTGCGTAACAGTGGAAGTTAAACCCATAGCATTTAATTATTTGTCCAGTTGGTAGCATATAAATGGTAAAGAGGAGAGGGCCCAAAACAGAACGTTGAGGTACACCACAACTGATGGATTTGGTAGATGAACCAACTTCCATGCACAATACTCAATCAAAGATTTAACAACAGGTTTTGGAATGTAAAAATTACAAAAAAATTAAATCAGTTTATGATCAGAAATACCTATGTCAGAGCTTTTTAAGGCAGTAATGTCGATACCAGTAGAGCAAACCAAATCCAGTGTATGGCCATGTACATGAGTTGGAAAATCAATATGTTGCTGCAGATTAAAACAATCAAGGACAGACATGAACTCAAGAGCATGAACAGTATCAGTATCAACATGAATATTGAAATCCCCTAGCAATAGTATAGCTGTAGATTGGGCAGAAGCAATTGTCAACAATTCACACAAGTCTGACAGAAATTCCATGCTTGTTTTAAGAGGACGATACACCAGTATTATGAGCAGTGAAGAGTGGCTAGTGGTTTTAAATGCCAAATATTCAAACGATGTCACCTCATGGAAAGGAGACAGCTCAATAATGGCGCTTGCTCCTACCGGGGGATTTGAACAAACACCTAACCTTAAATATTGAACTTTGTTGTATAATGTGTCCCTCGCCATTTGTGCTATGTACACGAATGACGCATCAAATCATGCAGGTCATTGAGGAGAGGTAATCAGACTTGTGGTAAATGATGAAATGGGTGAAAAACTTACACTACACTTATTTTCAATGAGAATCAAATGTAATATATATTATTGATATATATAATAATATTGAATTTAAAATGTTAATTTAATTATAATAAAAATATTTTACATGTACATTTTATATTTTACTATATATATGTAAAATATAAAATGCACATATAAAATATTTATTAATATATATATATATATATATACCATTTCAAATGATAAAAAATATAGAACTATATTTTAATACATATTAATTGTCTTGTAATTCATCAATACATTTCTTTGTCACGTGCTGTAATTGGCTTGTTAAATCACCTCTATTATTAAGGTTATTATGAGAATTACATGTTGGTACTCAGACCAACACTAAACCCCTTTAAGGCCCAGATCCAGACCGGGAAGTAACCCTGAAGACCCTGAGATCCCAATTTCGAGAGCCAAGGCCATATTTATGTGGTTTTGAGAGGTCTCATGACCTAGACCGCAAGATCGTTACCTCTAGCAGTGGCACACAAGGGCTTTACTTCTGTTCCCGCCGCCTCATGGATCCTGAGCTTAGGCAGGAGAATGTTTGGCTGCTTTATGGGAGATTTACTGCGGGCCGCCCAGAGCGATGGCAGAAAGAAAGCGAGACGGGGTCCGGCGTGGGTTCTTCTCACTGATTTACTCCTAGTCCAGCCTAATTCCATCGTGTAGCATCTGGCCCTACATCAGCTGCAGTGGATGCTTTTGGCCGGCCCTCAGAGAGCTAGACAGGGCAGAAAACGCTGGAAGGAAGTGAGAAAAGGCTGCGAAGGGGCTCGATGGCTTTTCTTTCATGGGGATTATTTTCTATGATGGATATCTGTCACAAGCTCTGCAATAGCCTCTTTCCAGACTGTGACTATATATCATGTTATTGGAGCAGCAAGTTTTTCACAAGTTAAGAGACTCACACAGCAACATCAGCCATTTTGGAACTCTCTAGAAACAGGGGTATTAAACCACATTTTTGAAGTCAACAAGTAAAGTTAGTCACATTTTCTTGCACAAGACTTTGTGCTACTATACCTTTAAGACTCTTTGCATGTGCAATGAGGGCCGTTATACATGTCAATTTATACATCTGAACGGTCATATGTTGATGATGTACTGATTTCTGTATCATAAACGTTGTGTTAGCTTTGTGTTATGTAGCATAGCATCAATCGAAATCCTGCTTTTTCATGATGTGTCCCTTTGAAAGTGAACATCTCTGTCATTCTGGCTCTAGCTCTCACTGTTACCAACCTACTTGCTTTGTTTCAAGGTATCACAGGCAGCGACTACATCAATGCTAACTACATTGACGGCTACAGGAAGCAGAACGCATACATAGCCACACAGGGGCCACTGCCGGAGACCTTCGGGGACTTCTGGAGAATGGTGTGGGAACAACGAGCTGCCACCGTGGTCATGATGACCAGACTAGAAGAGAAGTCAAGGGTGAGGCTAAACTAAACAAAAAATGTATTAATCTGGAATACTATACACAGGTGTCGCACAAAAGTGCTCAAGAGAATATTGAATTAGAATGTTGATCCTCTCAAGCATAAAAATGTGCAGTATACGTAAATATTCTGTAAAATGGTCCATTTTATATTAGGTAACTATTTATTGATACTTTACTGTATTGAATTAAATGTTTTGCATTGCATTCTGGGATTGTCTTCTCCGCAAAAGACACATGCAGCATTTCAGTTTTGCCAAAAGAAAGTATCTTACATTTAGAAACAACCTTAACATCTGGAGCGTGCCGGTGATGTCTTAAAATCCTGGGTAGCTAGGCAGCTCTCTAAGTTGTGGAAGGAAGCTAATAGTCCCTAAGAATATAATAGGCCGTCTCTCTTAGCCTTGTTAAAAAGACTGAGCTTCATACTGAACAAATTGACATTATTCCAGTTGAAATGCCATTGCCGGTTGAGTGGATGAGCAAAAAGGATGGAGGGAAATGGGACTTTCCTATAACAACTGGGAATCATCTCTCGGCTCTATCGGGGGGCAGTTCGGCCCATTTACCACAAAAAAAGAAGAGCGTGAGAGAAAGAGGAAGTTAAGAATCCCTCATCTTGAAGACTCCCTCAGCCGTGACGTCTGGAAGTTCATTGAAGACGATTCCGTCACACCCTAGACTGTCAGGCTCAGCAAACTCCGTCGATATCTCAGGACACCCCCTCTCACTCTCTCTCACCATCTTAGCGGGCGCCACATGGCGTATTAGAGCTTTGTCAGATGCGATCAGAGTGAGCCGTTCAATCTGCAGCATAAGCACAAAGAACACATTAAACTTGCACATTTTTGAAGCAGCGAGCTGTCACATCGCATCAGGGCACGGAGGGCAGCCTGACTGCTCGCCATGCTCCATATTTAGTGCATCTTTACAGCAGGCCAGGGGTCTGTCAATGTGCCAGGTGTCGGAGGAGGGAAGAAAAACATTATGCCTGGGTATTGATGTGACGTGGGTAGACGGGAAGGGTTTGAGATTGCAGGTGTGAACCCCCAGGACTGAGTGGTTATTTGTGAATCAGAGACTGTTACGAGTCTTACTTCTCATTTTCGAGAATCCAAAGTAATTTAGTGTCTTTGAAAAAGGCTTTAGTTAGCTCCCAGATAATTATTTGATTCGATCTTGGTGAGATTTATTTAAATGGCACTGTAATTCCTCAGCACACTGAAATTCGGGAGGCATTTGCATAGAGATGTCTGTGTAAATCTGAGTCAATGACCTCCAAAAAAGACAGCTAAACCCACATGAAAGACATAAGGTATGTTAACGTTCCCTCACCCTCTGCAGATAAAGTGCGACCAGTACTGGCCAGGTAGAGGGACGGAGACCTACGGTATGATCCAAGTGACGCTCCTGGACACCATCGAACTCGCCACTTTCTGTGTGCGCACCTTCTCTCTTCACAAGGTAAGACTTTTTGTGTCCACCTAAGTGCCACCTAGCATGCAAACCAATTCAGCCACAGTTGGGATGCCAAATCCTGCTCCCAAAGGGCCAATATCTTACAGAGTTTAGCCTAATTAAAGCTAATCAAGGTCTTAAGGATTGTTAGAAACTTCCAGGCAACATTTACAGAACCTTGACCCTTCAGGAGCAGGATTGGACACCCCAGTCTACAAAAAAGGCATTTCCTAGATAATATGTGCTCCCTTTCCTAGGAACACTTTGCTTTAGACGTTTTAAAGAGTTTTACGTTGTGCATGGGCCTCTTATTTCCCTCTGGACCTTAGAGCAGACACATTACACAGTTTTGCTTTCGGGCTCAGATAGACATACACAACTGGGATGACTGCAAACGGGAACGTTTTTCCGAAACCCTCCCAGCGTTCTCATCTCGACTGCATACATCAACACACGCACATTTTTTTATAATCTCCTCATTCCACATCCATCATCTTTTAATGCTATGCCTGCCAAAGAGAGGCACTTAGCTAAGTGGCCAGAGCAAAACGACTCCATGCAAAATTGGTATCCCAGACAGCGCAGCGGTCAAGTAAACATGAAGTGGTTGGGAGCGAGGGAGAAAAATAGAGAGGGGTCAGCCAGTTGTACGGTCAGACCGTAACGTGAATTAAAATGGATTGAGCTTTTACTGTAGTGAAGGGCGCCCGTAAGACACGAACAGAAGCATTGATTAAAGAGAGACTGTCGTACAGAGCATGAAGAGCGTGCTTATGGTTACGGGATGATGCTTTCATATAAAGCCCCAGGAAAGAGAAATGAGATCTCTTCAATATCTCAATTGATTCTCCTAGATAGCACAGAAAGTAATTGGATCTTCTCAGATTTGTCCCAGTAATCCACTAGTTTCAGAAGGGATCTTCTGAGCTATGAATGAGCAATTAAATTGTCTTCTTGGACAGTCTAGAATAGATGAAATGGCTTACTGTTTTTTTTTTTTTACTAAAGGGACATCTTCGAATACAGATGAGGTGTGTTTTTGTTGCACCACAGTTGTTTTATTGCATTGCTGGGCTGAATAGTCAGAGTTTGCTTACAACCCTTACACACATACTTGCTGGAACAGTAAGGTGTATTTATGTGTGCGCATATCCTGCAGTCGCACACACAAAGTCAACCCCAGAGTCATGAATTCTTAAAAACAATCCTGCACAAGCCCATCCACTGCAGAGAAACAGCCTGCAGAAGACAGCCGGAGGAAAAAAAGTATCTGGCAAAACTGGGCCAGTTTGCTCTTAATTACATCGTTTATTTATTCATTTATTCAAAGGAAGCCTCTGTTGGAACAGCAGCAACATTGAAATGCAAAACCTCCCTTTAAAGCCCAGGATGAGAAATAAAGGCTAGCAGCTAGAACTAGCAGAACACTGATGTCTCTCCCTCTTCTTAACGAGATCTCCTCTGCAGCAGACATGTTCCTGGCTCCCTTCTTTTGTTAAAATACACTGTAGAAGACATTTTGGTGACACAAGGCGATTCCAGAACGTGTATATCATAGCATGTTTATGACACTGGCATGTAAGGTCCTTGAACTGCTAGACAGCTCCATGAACTCATGCTAACACAATTAAATCGTGCATTAATAGAACTAGGGCTAGATTTATCGCCACATAACCGGTAAGATTTATTTCTGTGCATTCAGGCAACTTAGCGTCACAGCACTTGCTCTTCTTTCAGAATGGTTCCAGTGAAAAGCGAGAGGTCCGACAGTTCCAGTTCACCGCCTGGCCGGACCACGGTGTTCCCGAGTACCCCACTCCATTCCTGGCCTTTCTCAGGAGGGTGAAGACCTGCAATCCACCGGACGCCGGCCCCATCATCACCCATTGCAGGTCTGAACCTTGTTCCTACTTGTCAGGGCTCTCGAAGCCAGAAACTGATCAGGAAGTCTCGTCGTTCAAAGTTGTAGTCAAGTTTGGCGTCGTTCCCTAAAGTTGGCTTTTGGTTCTTGGTAATGAAACCAAACTTTTCTGCAACTTTCATCCCTGACTTGTGCAACATGTGTTTTCAGTGCTGGCGTGGGCCGCACAGGCTGCTTCATCGTGATTGACGCCATGCTAGAGCGCATCAAGCATGAGAAGACGGTGGACATCTACGGTCACGTGACCCTTATGCGCTCCCAGAGGAACTACATGGTGCAGACGGAAGACCAGTACAGCTTCATCCACGATGCCCTCCTGGAGGCCGTCGCCTGCGGGAACACGGAGGTGGCAGCACGAAGCCTCTTCTCCTATATCCAGAAGTTGGCACAGGTGGAGACCGGAGAGCACGTCAGCGGCATGGAGCTGGAGTTTAAGGTAACCACAAGACATATGAAAAGTAGGAAGATAATCGAGCTAGTAACAATCAACACCTCTTGATGGCATGTTTTGTTACTGTAGATACAGATGTGAAACTCTAGCTCTAGTTGTGACAGAGACAACCAAAGTTGATGACAGCCAGAGAGGGATTGTGGAAAGGGTAATTAACACTGGTGAAGACGGATGTTGAGGAGAAGCGATGTGTTCACTAATGAGCAGACAGGGATTGTGGGTTCCATTTGGTAACTAAAACACCCCTGCAGGTTTCTGGACTCCAAGGCCTTGAAAAGCTTTTCCTTCTTTCCAGTTCTTTTGCTCTTTCAGGCTTGTTCTTTAGCTTGGAACAAAGTAGTCCTCACCAGCTCAGGAAGAAGCATTGGGAGCATTAGTGAGGTGGCAAACCAATTAGTTTAACGATGGGTCCAAGTAGCAAGGTGATAGCATTTCTATTTTTAAAAATTGTAGTAGTAAAGCTCTTTTTATTGAGTAGTGTTGTCAAATATGCTATTTTAGTAATCAAGTTGTGCATCTATTGTTGCTAAAGCACAACTCACAATGTCCAATTCATGACTGAATGAGTTCCTTAAAAGAGATCATCAAACTAGTTAGCAAAATGTCTGAATTGCTTTGCAAATTGGTCAGAAACGGTTCCTCGTGAGCGAAAATATGAAGTAGCATAATTTTAGCTAATTGAGTAGTGGTATGCCATTCTAGCCACAAAATCAAATAGCAACATGCTAAGATGGCTGACCAATCAGTTAGAGTTGTGCTAGGCTGGTAATTCAGTGGTATACTTAGCCACACATCACTTTCACTTTTTAAATTAACACATAATTTATGACTTTTATTTGTCATATTTATATGGTTAGCATGGGGGATAGAATCTTTCCCAACACGATGAGTGTGCTAGTGCTAATAAGGTGCCTACAGGGCTAACCATGTCAAAAACCTCTTTTAAACTCTACCCCGGCCCGCTAAACTAGCCAAAGTGTGTGTGTGTGTGCTTATTATTTCAACAGCTCGGTTCATAGTTGGCGCTTCCCACCGGAATGCCTCATGCCCTTCCAGGTCCCTCTTTGAAAGCTACTCAAAGACTCAAAGGAAAGACAAACAGCCAATGGCTGCTTCTGAAAGAAAGAGAAAAAAAGACTAGGCCTGGAGCAGGAACTGAATGGATTTATAACCGGGCAAAGGCATTACCTGGCAGAACAGGAGAGAGAGAGAGAGAGAGAGAGAGTGCGGCGCAGTTTCTAGATGTGCCAGACTCGTCCAGTTAAAAGGAGACAATGCTTCCAGACAACTGACCTAGAAAACGGAGAAGAATTGTGGGTACTGTGGCTCGGTTGATGTTAATTGATGGTTACAAGATCCTAATTTGGATCATGAGACGAGGGTACGAAGTGTATGTGCGCGTACAAAACGGTGGTGTCCAGTCAGAGTATGAATACAAAGCAGCATCCTAAAAGAAACAGTGACCCATTTTGCCAATTGCCGCCAAAGTTGCATGACCTTCCGGTTGTTTCGGAGCAGGGTTTTGTGCCACCTGATGGACGAAAAATGGGGGTTTTGGTCATTATAACAACAACGAGCATTGACAGGTTTCCTGCGTGCACAAGTAAACTGGGTCACCCAGTCTTGCCCATTTATAAACAGTCTGAGACTGAAAAAAATAGAGGCATTACACCAAAAATAAAAGGTCAGAACGGTTAAATGAATGCCTGAGATTCCCATGCAGCAAGTAATGTCCTTCAAGCCTAAATATCCGTAACGGTGTTGGAAGTAAACTCTATTTAAGCTGTAAATGTTTTGAGTTTTAGAGATTGGCTTGGATTGATCAATCGTCTTTCTTTTCCCACAGCGTTTGGCGAACTCCAAAGCCCACACGTCCAGATTCATAAGTGCCAATCTGCCATGCAACAAATTTAAAAACCGCCTGGTAAACATCATGCCGTATGAGACCACTCGAGTGTGCCTGCAGCCCATCAGAGGGCTGGAGGGATCCGACTATATCAATGCTAGCTTCATTGACGGATACAGGTACGGCGACAGCGATCTGCAGTGGGAAAGCAACCCAAAGTCATTCGTTTTGCCAATTTGAGCACCTTAATTCACAGGCACTCACTTTCTCTTTCCTGTAGACAACAGAAGGCTTATATATCCACACAAGGGCCATTAGCGGAGACCACTGAAGACTTCTGGAGGATGTTGTGGGAGAACAACTCCACCATCGTGGTGATGCTGACCAAACTGAGGGAGATGGGACGAGTGAGTGTCTCTCTTCAAGACCATTGGCTTTCGGCTTCCAGAGCATGTGATTTAATTATGTTTTTGTTTGTTTTCGCAGGAAAAGTGTCACCAGTACTGGCCGGCGGAGCGCTCCGCTAGATATCAGTACTTTGTGGTGGATCCAATGGCAGAGTACAACATGCCGCAGTACATCCTCAGAGAGTTTAAAGTGACCGATGCACGGGTGAGTCCTGAAATATTCAATTCAATTCAAGTTTATTTGTGTAGCGCTTTTCACGATACAAATCGTTGCAATACAAATCGTTGAAATACAACAAAAACATATTGTGCCGAATGGTACTGAATGATTACCGTGTTCATATACCATACCTTTCCTGAGGTATTTACATGGTATTTTGAAGCACTTCAGAGAATATCATGGTGTTCTTATGAAAAATAATACTACCGTGTTATTTTGGACATTTACAATGATATTCTTGGATGTACCATATAAAAACCATTATATCTCCAAGGTATTTCCAAGATTATTGTGGTATTAATATGGTACATGTCCAAAAACCACAGTATTATCATGGTATCATGTATGAAATCATCTAAATACTGTGGTACTTTGACATTGTGATATTAAATATTACTATATTTACATACCATGGTACTCCGAGACTTTTCAAAGAATGTCATGTTTTCTTGGCATCATGAGGGGAAAATATGGTAATACCATGGTATGTTCATATATACCATGGTATTGAATGATTACTATATGTATATACCATGGTATTTACTGCAAAGAGTGTCATGGTATTATCATGAAATATATCTAATAAACATAGTAAATCATGGATTTAATACAGTAATACTGATGCTAATAATATTATTATGTTTTATATTAAATATGTATTTTATATATAAATTAGGTAACACTTTATTTTAAGGTGTCCTTGTTACACATATTACATGTACTTACTATATGATTAGGGTTTGGCTTAGGGGGACTTGCATGTAATTATGCATAATTACATGCAAGTCCCCCTAAGCCAAACCCTAATCATATAGTAAGTACATGTAATATGTGTAACAAGGACACCTTAAAATAAAGTGTAACCATAAATTATATAAAAATGTTTATTGTTTACTATATTATTATATATAATTGCTATATATTAGAAATTATATATTAATTCTGTATATTTTATTTAATTATATTTTGAGTATTTTATTAATTTCTTATATGTATAAATATTGATTCATACATATTATATTTTATAATGTACATCGTGCGGTAAAACATGGTAATACCATGGTATATTATTATTTATTCATATAGCCTTTATATTAAAATATAAATCTAGCATGTTTGTATTTATATTATTATTATTTTTACATTATATAATTGTTTTATTTTTATTATATTTTTGAGCATCAAAAATTTAGTATTAATAGTATTTAGTATTTATAATTTCTTACTAATATGTATGAATTAATATTGATTTTAAATACTGATGTAAATCATGCCATAAAAACAAGGTAATACCACATCATTGTTTTCTTCTTGTTTTTGGAAGCACATTATTGCAGATTACATCAATTACAAAGTGTTTCGGGTAAAAATAACGCAATTAAATTTAGTTCTGTATCCATTCTGAGCCAAAATACTGTTAGATGTCTTATAATCGTGTTTCCCATGAGTCTCAGCAGTAGGTCTTTCTCTAGAAATGCCTGAATATCCCATCAAGTGAGCGACTGCTAGCAGAACCGCTCATTTAATGACTCCAACCCTCATCAGTCGAGTGGCCTTTCCAGCAAACTGTTAAAGCGAAACACTCTGAGCGGACAGGCCCAAGACGAAAAGAGCATCCCGAGCGTCGCTCACTCCAGCCAAGCACTTTAATCGTGATTGAATCATCCAGACAGGCTCTCCAGTAATCAGACTGCAGCGAGAATCAAAGAGAGCTTTAATCAGAGCCGACTGGAGGAGGCGGAGCCTGGACCGAGGCATGATGGGACGCCGCCGCGCTCGAAAAAGTCACGTATTTAAAGGGTTAGTTCACCCAAAAATGAAAATCCTGTCATTAATTACCCTCGTGTCGTTTCAAACCCGTAAGACCTTCGTTCATCTTCGGAACACAAATTAAGATATTTTTGATGGAATCTGAGAGTGTCTGACCCTGCATAGACAGCAAGGCAACTGAAATGTTCCCAGGTAGGTAAACGTAGCAAGGAGATCTGTAAAATAATCCATGTGACATCAGTGGTTCAACCGTATACGAAGCTACGAGAATACTTTGTGCGCAAAAGGAAAAAAAATAACGACTTTATTCAACAATTCATCTCCTCCGCATCACCCTGTAGTGCCATTTTGGAGAATATCAGCTGGACGTAAACAGCGTATGCTGTTCTGAAACGACATGAGGGTGAGTAATTAATGACAGAATTTTCATTTTTGGGTGAACTAACCTGCTTGACTGCTATCAAGCGCTGTCGAGAGGATATATATAGACAATATTCAGTTTATATGTTGCTATTTATGTATTTGTTCTGAAATTACTCATAGGAATCAATCAGAAGAACCATAATTTTGACTAAAGCTATTGTTGCAAAGTTATGTAGTTGGTGTGTGTTTTAATGAACACGAGGAAGAATATTTATTTTTAATTAATATTATAATAATTAAATATTATTAATAATATTGTATTATTTTATTATTAATATTATTATTAAAAAATTATTAAAATGTTGATATTTAAAATTATTAAACATAAAACAAATTTTAAAATATCCATAAAACAAATTCATGAACCAATTATTGAACATAAAACAAATTTAAAAATATCCATAAAACTAATTCATGAACCAATTAATAGTCAAGTTTTTATGCGATTAACTGAAACATAATTCGATCTGTTTCTTAACAAAAGCACAAAAATTCAAATGACCCTCCAAAGGAACTAGAAATGTGAGGAAGCGGAGTGCCTGGCGTTAGACTGTGATTCCGTGTGTTTGATCCGTCAGACTCTGACTGTAGCGATGGCTGAATATTTCCGTGAAATCCAAGCGCGCTTTAATTGTGCCTGGTTCTGTCTGAGCTTGCCTTCGATCGCTTGTTTCTCTGTCCTCTTCTCTCCTCTCATCCGTCAGGGCTTCTCCAAACGTTTAGCAGCGTCTCCTCCAGATGACGCTCGTCACGGCAGACGCACCATCGATTTCCCTCAACCCACAGTTATTCCGGCCTAAAACACTATGAGGAAAGGCACGGACGCAGATGTTTCAATCCGGATAAAGCCATCCATCCACCCACTTCTGTGCTGTGAAGTGAAGGACTGTGGGAGTAAAAGAGACGGGCGTTTATGTGTGTGTTTGTGTTTGTCTCTCAGGACGGCCAGTCCAGGACCGTACGGCAGTTCCAGTTCACCGACTGGCCGGAGCAGGGCGTTCCCAAATCAGGAGAGGGATTCATTGACTTCATCGGACAGGTGCATAAAACTAAGGAGCAGTTTGGACAGGACGGGCCCATTTCTGTCCACTGCAGGTGAGGAAGCACACGCAAAACATCTATTATCAACCGCTCGACCTGTAAAGTGTAGGATTTTGTGGCTTTGAGAACATAAATACATAAAGTAACACACGTTTAAGTAGCAGGACGTTCACGCTGCTCTTTTTCATACATTGAGAGTAGACCAATAAAAATAGAAATTAAGTTAATAAAAACTATATACATATTATAAACATTATTTAAAAAAATAACTAAACTTAGCTACAATTAAAATGAAAATGGAAACTATAAAAATAAAGACAAATTCAATATTGTTAATAAAAACAATTTTTATGTATGTGTATATATATATATATATAATTTTAATATATTTATTAATATACTTATATATGATATTTATTTAAATACAAATATTTGTTTTTCAAATTCACTAACTTTTTAAAATTTACTTAGATATAAGTAATATGTTTATAATATATTTATAATATTTATTAATATACTTATATATGATATTTATTTAAATATAAATACTTTTTTCAAATTCACTTTAACTTTTTAAATTTACTGAAATATAAGTAACTATATATAAATAATATAACAAAAATTTAAATGAAAAGGAAATTATACAAAAAAATAATAATAATAAAATATTAAGAATAATAATAAAAATACATTTACAAACATTATAAACACATGTACTTTAGTTCCCGTCGCTCCGCAACAAATCCTTTACATTTAAAGCTATTCAGAACAGAACAGGAATGATAAATATAAGTATAAAACAAACATAAAGTTTAGTGGCATTCATTATTAAAAAAATATATTTTTATTATACACGCCAAACCAAAATGATTTTATTTAAGGCAATACTGAAATTATCGGCATGTTGGAAATGCGTTACACAGATAAACTCAGACTCGCGTACCTCTATCAGGCAACACTAAAACAAATGTGTGCATGCTTGACGATAACTGCATTAGATTTTTTTAAAATAAGTCTTTTTTAAATTCTAAAACGGATATTTCCGATCCTGGATGCTGGCTGGTCATTAGCGCTCATGTTGAAATAAAGGCAGACTAGCGCGCAGCACTCATGTCACGAGGCAGGCCAGCGTGAGTACAGTAATGATGCATGTGACTCCTTTACCAATATGAGCAGAGACTTCGCCACGGCCACCGCTGAACAAGACGCCGTCCTCCAGACCCACAGAAATAACCGTTTAACGCTGCTGAGAGTCCAGCGCTCCTCTGCGTATTAAACACATTATACAGCGGCGGCGGGATTGACTTCAGTATAGACTGACGTGAGCAGAGAGAAACGGCTTTTGACCTCCTCCTATATGTGACCCTGGAGCTCTTTCTCTCCGTCTCTCAGTCTTCAGCTTCTGCTTCATGTGGCGCCGCGTCTCCATCAAAGAGGCATTTTTATGCTGTTTTTGGTCTTTTTGGATCTTGACAGCATTGCATCATCTTGTCTTCCAGTAAAAATATCTAAACATTTTAAAATCGAGAAGCAAAAATGACACACTAAGTGTTTTTTCCCAGACAAATGTATCAAAATGAAGTGAGTTTTTTTCTTAAGACAAGAGCACATTTCAGCCGGTGGGGTCAGAAAAATAATCTCATCTTTCCTTTGAATCAAGTTTATTTTTCTGACTCTACTGGCAGATATTTGTTGTTTTAATCTTAAACTCACTTCATTTTGATACATTCTTCAGAAAACAGCACTTAATATTTGTCTTCTCAAGTAAATGTAATTCAGTTTATGAATATTTAGACATTTGTACTGGAAACAAGAAAAATTCATTTGACAAACAAAACTGAGTTTAAGGAATAAGTATAAATGTTTTATGCTCTATAGTATCTATATCTATAGTAACATTATTATATTGGATTATTAGTATATAATACTGTATCCTATATTAGTTTGTAATACGCATTTTAATTGTTTTCATTATATACAGTATATATATATATATATAATGAAAATAATATTTTAAATAATATAATAAGAACATACAGTTTTATATATGTATATATGATGATGATACTATGTATCATTATTTTATTATATTATTACTATAAAATAATAATGAATTAGTTTAAATATTTAATCAATATATATATATATATATATATATATATATAGTATTACATTAATTACATTATTATATAATTTTAAAATAATCTATATAGTAATCAAATAATATTAATAGTAATTATGATACTAATTTACTGTGCTAATAATCTGCTGTAATACAATAAATATTAATGAATATATATAAATATATACAGAGAGTTTTTCAGCTAATTACTATTATTGTATTACTACACTTAATTAACCCTTCAGAAAACAACACTTAAAATTCTCAAGTAAATGTCATTTGATTTATGAATCTTTAGATATTTATACTGGAAAATGACAAAAATACTGAAGATACTGACTTTTTTGCAGTATATAAAAAAAATTAATTACACTTAATTAAAATCCTTAAATGCAAATTTGCTTGTCAAGTGAATTTATCTGGTTTTAAAACTGTTTTTCCACTGGAAAATGGATTAATAATTGATTTTTGCAGGAAAGATTCTTTACATTTGTTCCTTTTGTCTTTGACGAGGGTTGAGGTTTTTTTCAGCGCTTGTTGAACTCCTTCTCTCGTATTCCTCTCCTCTCCATCCATCTATCTCCCCCAGATTTCATATCTAATAGAGCCACATGGTTTTGTCATTAATTGCATGATTACGTCGACTGAATGGAAGTGTAAATCCTCTCATTCGGCGCGTCTTCACGCCTGTCAGATTTGAAAGTCTTGTCTATTTAACCAGCGCTTGGGTTGAAGTCTGAGAGCTGTGCGACGCCGGCGACCGGCTGCCAGCCGAACCACTTCTTTCTGTCTTCTCTTTTCTTCAGCCTCCTTTCTGTAGGGCTTTGGCAGCACGGATGGACAGAAACGTCAAAAGCGTTTTGTTTTCCTGACAGTGACCATCGTGAGACTCCGAAACGTTTTTTCATTAGATTGCCCAACTCTTCTGCCGAGGTTGCATCATTGTAACGGTGCGTTGTGATTGGTTGGGTATCTAAACCAATCGGAGACCCAAGCCGTTTGTCACTTTCAATCTTGCCAAGTGGAGGCAAAGGGAAAAATAAGCCCGTTGTCATATCAATTATTGTTGGCTTGGTGAAATCGCTCGGCGCCAAAGCAGCTTATGAAGGCAGCCTTGAAAAATCAGACTTAAGACTCCTCCTATTTCAAGCGCTGTCACAGCGAGATGAGCTTAGCGCGCGCGTGTGTTTGTTCAAACTAAACGAGTGCGATTTATTCTACTGCTGTTTAAATAGATGGCTATAGGGTGAATTCAGAATAGTATACTAGCCAGGGTTTTTGAAGTAGTGTAGTATGCATTATGTATAATGTGCATAGTATGCAAGAGCACACTGTGTGGAATACTATATCCAACAATGCAATGCACTTGACCTTCCACTTACAGTGTGACAAATGAATAAACGCGATGGCATGATTTTTTTTCCCCAATCTTCCCAATTTATTTGTTAGACTACTACACCTTTTTTAATACCAAAATCTGATTGGTTGGTTGGTTGATTGGTTGGTTGATTGGTTGGTTGGTTGGTTGGTTGATTGATTGGTTGGTTGGTTGGTTGATTGATTGGTTGGTTGATTGATTGGTTGATTTAGCATTGGGCATTTTAGATTTATTTTTTTAAATATTCACATCTACTTATTTTTATTCATTTATTGCTCCTTAAATATTTTATTTGTTTATTTGTATTGTTGTAAATTTAAGCATTTTTATAGTATTTTCATTTTCAAATCTACATTTTTATGTTTAATTATTTATTTATTGTTCTTTTATTATTTTTATTTATTTATATATTATTATTTATTATAAATGGATTAAAGTGGGTGTCACAATTCAGTGGATAAACGCACAAAGGAGATACAGTTTCAATGAAAACAGTTTTTAATAAATCCACACAAGGGCAAACACGAGGCAGACAGGCAGGAATCACACATATGGACGTAGTAGACCGGACAATAACCTGAGAACTGAACACAACTAATAAAGGGTAGCTAATGACGCTAATTGATGACACACACCTGAACCAAAATGACACAATCAAGGGGAGACAGAAACTAGGTCAAAGAACACGAGGGAAGAAATGAAAACAAATACTAAAGTCCATAAGGTGTTACAGTGGGGGAAATTGTTTATTTAGGACATGCATTTTAATTTTTATAATTTTTTAAATTTCAAATCTACTTTTATTTAACCATTTATTCTTTTTTTTGTATTGTTATTAATTGTATTTTTTTTTTTTTTTTTTTTGGATTATTTGCAGTGTGGTGAGGTCATGTGACAAAAATACTACATACTAATTTACATAACTAGTTTCAAATAATAATTTCAAATTGAGGAATGCAATATAGCAGTACGATGGTATTCCATTTCATACAGATATTTGTACTTAAAATAAGAGAAAACTATTTGCTAGTAGGATGAGAAAAAATTAACTCTCATCTTAATATATTGAGCAGTTTTGCTTTTCAAGTAAATCTTGCTTCATGGATGTTTAGATGTTTCTACTGAAAAATAGATTTTTTTTTTTTTGCAGGAAAGCTGTAACAACATTACTGCATAGTGTTTCACATACTCGTTTCTTGTAGGTTACTACCATGCAGAAAAAAGTTAGCAACAAACTATGCTAACAAACATCAGTTCTCAGTTTCAGAGAGTGTTTTTTTAACACAAGCTTGTGCTTTCCTCAATGCAGTGCCGGTGTTGGGCGGACCGGGGTCTTCATCACGCTAAGCATTGTGCTGGAGAGGATGCGCTACGAGGGTGTGGTGGACATCTTCCAGACGGTCAAAATGCTGAGAACGCAACGTCCAGCAATGGTGCAAACAGAGGTGAGAGTCCAGAGCTTCTGTTTTACAGCAGATTGTCTTGTTTAATTGCTGGACGTTTGGCCAACTGAAGTAATAGCTAATGCTTATGCTGATGCCTTTGTGTTTCGCTTTACAGGACGAGTACCAGTTTTGCTATCAGGCGTCTCTGGAGTACCTTGGAAGTTTTGATCACTATGCAACGTAAAAAGCCATTTTTGTTCCCCCCGCCCCACAAACCCCCTCCCCCCAACAGCCTCCTGAGCCATAAAAAACTTGCTTGAAAACATGAAATGATGACAACTATACACAATTCATACAATTTTTTCGAATAATCGTCGTTTGGAATCAATCAAAACGCCTCATGTGTAACCCCAATTGGACAAGCAACACTGGAGAAGTGCAAATGGATCCCAAACTCTTCTACATCCCAAGCTCATGATGCAGGAACCAAACGTTTTGGCTCAGGCTGTAGGGCAGGAATGACGATCTAGTTTTGGGACCACTAACCTTACCTCAAGTGTTCTGACGTGGAGGACAAACATTGTTTCTTTTCAAACTAACTCTGTGAACATATTACAAAAAGACATGAAGGAAAAGTTGGTGAGATACAACATGTCCACATATTCAAGTATAGATGATGAGCACCTAATTGGTTGGGTAATTCGTTGGCATTTAAAATCCTTCTTTGTTTACTAAAATGGAAACATTTTCATTGAAAGGACATCTATCGGTCTAGCAGCGGACTTCATTGATGTCTTCAATGGAGAAGTTGGTGCAGCGGTACAAACAAGACTTCTTTTGCTGCTCACGTCTTGGGTCCAAGCCTCTCCTTGACATGTTGCCATTCAGACAAAATTGGGAGCCACTTGAGAAGCGATTCGAGGCAAACCGTTGATCCACTTGAGAACGTAACCCTACTCTTGAAACCACTGGAGTCGCCAAACAAGAACTCGACACGTCTTGAGGCACTGAGGCATTCAAGGAATTGGTTGAAACCTAATCGCATCAGTTTCTTGAGGTGGGGACAGTTTTTTGGTGCTTTTGAGGACATGCTAGCGAACATTTCTGCCAATGTAGCTCCATCTCCACCTCTCGAGAGCCAATTGGAGCGTGAAATGTTGCATCAACTAGAAATTAGGACCAGAGGAACCACCAAAGAAAGTCTTGAGTTTCTTTGGTGCAATGTAGCTCCATTTCTATCCTTTAGATCCAATGGGACCGTGAAATGTTGCATCAACTGGAGATTAGGACCAGAGGAACCACCAACAAGGTTTTGAGATTCTTTGGTGCAATGTAGCTCCATTTCCATCCTCAAGAGCCAATGAGAGCGTGACCTGTTGCATCAATTGGAGATTTGGATGAGAGGAACCACCCCAAAAGTCTCGAGTTTCTTTGGCGACTACATCCGATACATTGACTGGTCTCTCCGTTGACTTAAACCATGTATTTGGCACACCGGATAGGGGATGCGTGGCTACATCTTGCTTTCGGTACTTTGACGTCCCCAGTGACCAACGTTCATTGCCATCGTTTCAAACTACTTTTTGTCTTACAACTGTTTTTTTGCTTTTGTTTTGCTCTTGATACCAAACATGCTGCTTTTGCTCCATTATGCTGTACGTGTACATGTGAAGAGTCTGATTCAATGGACAGAAGTGTGCGAGAGCGTGATTACCTGTGTTGGTCCCACCAGTCAATCCATTTCCTTATGCCCCAACAGTTGCCCAGGATAAAATAGCATGTCCAAATTAATTTTATCATCATCAACGACCCATTCCTGGTTACTTTGGGATTTCTTGCGTTTATTTGTTGGTTGTTTTTGAAGTGTTTCTTCAATGGATTTTGGCTAATGAAGAGCAAGAAATGGGCATAAGTTTGCGCCCTGAAATTGCGGTACAACTATCTTGTGAATCTGTTGTTGTAGGTGGGACTGTTTTACACACTCATGCATATGCGTATGAGGGGGAGGGGCCTGCGCGCTGCTGTTAGAGCTGATTGGCTGTACTGGAGAATGCTTGAACCTGGAGTGTTCTGATTGGTGAGAGAATGAAAGGAGCCGCGTGTAATCTTATTTCCAAAAAGCCTTATTCTTGTAACATCATAGAAAAAAAAATTTAATACATTATTGTTGTATTATTTTGACTATTATCTTCTTAACAGACATTTGATTTCTTGGTTTAGTGTTTTGCTTTTTTTAACAAAGATACTGTACTCATTTTTTTTTAATTAGCAAGTAAAAAATAATGCTCATTTTACTCATAGTACGTTAAAAGACATTCTATTTTTTCACTGTAGAAATGTAACGTGAGATGTGTTGGTGTGCATGTATACATAGACGAATGGGACGTGAATGTATACATACACACTCACATATATTATATTTAAATGCAGAATATAAAGATGTATCCAAATCTTCATATGAATAGCCTTTTTTTTGTTTTGTTTTTGAAGCGGGCGCTCATTTTTATACCACCATGAAATTATGAAATTGTGTGTATGAAATCATGAATGACTTTTTATTGTTGTTGTTTTTTTGTTTTGTTTTTTAAAGTCGGGGAAATCAGAAATGCAGAAATTTCCCATAAATCATTTCAGGGAGAGCTTTGACTTCCTGTTGCCCAATGATGAAGGTTCATCGATAGTACTAGTATTAACTGAAGTATTACTTTTATAAAAGATGTAGAACTGGTTTACTAAATATTGAATTGAAAAAAAAATATACAATCATCTATACTTTCCAAATTTGACTAAAAAAACACAAAAAAAATAATTTTGTTACAGCCCATATCTGTGAAAGCTTTTTGAAACATTTTATTTTGTCCTTTTACTTTTCAAACCACCGAATGTTCAATCGTTTGTTAGATATCAACTATGATCCTGAATATAATGCCTGTAAATAAACAAATATATATTATATGTATTTGTATAATTTGACCCACAAGGATTCTGTCTTTGAACAAAACTGAGATAACCAACAAAAAAATGTTTATGCTTATGGGAACCCTCCACAGTTTTGAAAGAAGCTTTGTCTCACGCTAACAGCTCTGTTTATCTCTCTTCACTTCATTCCTCTTTTTTTTCCTGATCCATTTGTTCATTTTTTCCCCAACTCTTCACTTTTTACCTTATCTTAGCCAACAAACACTGCAGTCCAGTGGTGAGAGAAATCACGCTGCTTCTTTTCCCAATAGACTTTGTGCATCACTCTTTTATTTTTATTTTTGTAATATCACTAATACATGTTTGTCAGATCTCACTCCAAAATCAAAAAGCATAAAGAAAATAAAACCTATTTTTAAAGATTTTTAAAACACTTTCACCTCAATAATCAGTATTTCTCATTATTCAGTGGTGATTATAATTATTGTACATACAATGGTAAATTTTTCAGTTGAAAATTACTTAAATTCAATGTGTTATTGGAATCAGTGCAACAAATTGTTTTTAATCATTTGTTTTTATGTTTTTCATATTATAGTAATGTGAATTTTTTGCATTATGGTAATGAAAATTTGTTTTTTGGGGGGCGGGGGGGGGACTATGGTAATGAGTATTGCTGGGAAAATGTTTAATTGTCTTGAAAATAAAAGGTTGTAATGCGAAACATCTTACTAGTCTTAAAAACAGACTTGGCTTTCTCCAAACAAAATATACAGTAATTTCTTATTTTTAGTTTTATTTTGGAGTGAAATATGACCCAGCAATATTCTGGAAAGGTTTTATGAGATTCAGGAGATTTTACCCGTACCGAAACTAAAGCAGTAATCATTTTGTGTTTTTCTCATTCTGAGTGACTCTGTTGTTAGATTGGGATGAAGAAGGACTTATAAAATGCCCAGTGCCTATAAAATGCCATATGAACAGCAAGAGCGAATTGCGCATTTGGTGATTAGCTTCGTCATCATCACTTAAAAACACCCTTCTCTCACCACTGCCTCTGCACTTCATCTTTTTTTTTAAATTAGTAGTTCATTGCTAGAAGGTTACAGATGCCATGTTTAGTTCACTTTTATAATTTCGTTTTTTACGTTGGGGGACGAAGTACGAGAGAACTTGGAATCTGGAAATTCCAGCGCTGCCTTTTAAACTGTTGGGAGTTTTGTGTGTTTCTAACGAACTTTTCCTCAGAAGGGAAAAAAAACGCAAAGGACACTCGTGCGATTGGACTTGTCGGACTGATCTCCAAAACCTACGACGGCAAAAGTGCTCAGAAGTCCTGTTCGTCTGCTCAACGCAAGGACGTTCGACAACGGGAGCCAAACGTGTGAATCGATTAGACTACAAACAACGAAGAACCAATATACAAAAGTGAACGTATTAAAACCACGGCCAACAAAAAAGAAGAAAAAAGCCAAACGCAAGCGTGAAAATAGTTTTTCTTTGTACGAAGGCCAAGCGCTATCGCTTTCAAACTGTTACTTCTGATGGACACAATAATTGGTTTGAAACCACTGTGTATGTAGATATGTTGACTTTGTATTAAAGAAATGTTGTCTGAAAATGATGGTGTGCCTCGTATTTGGTCTGAAAATATTCATGGACGATGTTAATATTAAGTCTAGCATTAGATTTCCATGGGATCATTAAAATTTCATGAGCTCAGTTTGACAAGGCAGATGGCGAAATGAAATTGCTTATCCGCCGCATATACGAGGACCAATCAGCTGTCATCGCACATGGCATCTCAACAGAACAATCAATTATTTCACAATCTGGCCTGATACCTGAATGGTAAACACATCCATAAGCTCAACACGCTCATAATCTAACATCTCGTCTCATCCTGATGCATTTAGCCACCCGCCGCTTGCAATTTTATCATGGCGACCCGGGATGTAAATGACATGTAGATTGACTACGAATTTGTGCATAAACCACTGGAGAAAGCAGTTGTTTGGTGGGACAAACTAACGCCCAATTATATGCATAATTAATGGCGTTTGAGAAGTCAGTTGAGTAAGTGATCTAAAACAAGTTAGTACAATGTTCTAGGAAGCTTTATGTTAATATCGCCTCACAGTCCGTAGATCTGGTGCAAATCTTCAGCAAATGCCACTGGGCTCGCATGGAGGCTTGAACCGTTCACCTGATGCTATTTACGGTCCATGACGACTTCCCGCTGAAGACGAGAGAACAAAAGGTTGGTTTATGTTCAACATGAAATCTTGGTTAAAAGCCTCAAGAATCCTAATGTTTCTAGGCAATGCAAAAGAAAATGTGAAGGAGATCTGGGGCTAATTGCTTTTCTCGTCAGTCATCTAACTCATTAGCACTGTTCCTCGGGAGCCCATCAAAGCGCCGTTTGCATCAGAGCAGCCAAAAGCCATGGAAATTTCAAATAAATGAGAGAGAAGTAAATTGGACCGTCCGCCGCCCGTGGCAGAGCTGAGCTACAAATGGCACATCAGTTGAATCAAGCCATGGAAAATAAATCCTGGAGAAAGAGCCAGACATCATCTTTGAGAGATGAACGAGATAGAAGTCTTTTGCTCAGAATAATTGCTTGGAAATTGTTCAATGGACTTGTATTCAGATCTAATCAAGGCTGTTTTCTTTCAAATGCATTTGATGCAACAATGGTTTGATTTGGTTTCTTGAGTACTGATTCTTGAGCCATGCGACAATACAGTTTTGCCTGGTGTTAGTTTTGAAAACGGCAACATTTATGCTTTAATATGAGTCAGAATGATTTAGAATGTTTCTAACACGCATTCAATTTTCCCTTTGTTTTACAGAAATGTGGACGTTCTGAAACCACCATTATTTTATTTTAAAAATGCCTTTTCACAGCTTGTTTCAGTTATTAATGAAAACATTTCAGAAATGTGATGCTATCAAAACCAGTCTTCATCTTGAACATCATCTTTCAATTTTTCACCAAGTTCAGCAACAGATTTTGGTAAGTAATTGGGCTTACCTTTTATTTCAGCACCATATGTCAAAATCATCTCATAAAATGTAAAGAATTTCTTTGAATTTTTAGATAATTTCCCTCGTTTTTTTGTGAAGTGACGTTACAAAAACAAAATGGCTGCTGGCGCGCGAATGTTGACAAATACCACAGCAATGCACTTTATGCCTGTTTTCAGTTTGAAACCATGTAGGCCTACTCTCGATTCATTCACTCAATATTTCACGAATATACAGTGTTTGCCTCATTTTAGACCTAAAGTCGCACATTTTGTGAGAAAATGTAGGTTGCACCCAGACACCATATGAATCAATGAGCGACAGTTGTTCACATGATAAATTGTTCGACATATGTGCTATTTGTTTGTTTGCTTGCTTGCTTGCTTGCTTTGTTTGTTTGTATGCAGATGTTAGAAAAGCAGGGAGTTAATTATTATACGCCTGGAAGCCGAAATGAACAGATCAGTCCCGGAGTCCCATTACAGATGTTTCGCGGCGTTTCTGGAGCGCATATATCTACAAACATGATCAAATGTTACTGAATTCAGCTTTAAGTACCTCAGTAACTGAAGTTGAGCTTTATGTTATGCTAATCCAATACTTATGCGACCTTAAACCGAGACCTTTTTGGGGGGAAGCAAATGACTTCTTTCTGAAAATTCGCTTGAATACACTTACGGTTTATCTCGGCGAGAGGAGAGTGGCTGCTCTCCGAGTTTATTATGCAAATGAGACAATTTGACAGATTGCGGCAACCCTTCATAATCACTGTTCACGGACGGCTGGCTGCGGCACGAGCCGTTTCACTGGCGGCGCGCGCGTTTATACGGAGCTTTTGGGCTCTTTTAACTAAATATGCTCTCAAAACACTTTGACGGTACTCACAGAGTGGTTTACATCCCAAACACGATGGTACAATAGCTTTTATTGGCCCTCCCTGTTGAAAAAACCAACATATGCTGGTTAGGTATGTTTTGATGCTGGTTTAAGCTGGTCCTTTGCTGGTTTATGCTGGTCCTTTGCTGGTTTAAGCTGGTCCTTTTGCTGGTTTATGCTGGTCCTTTGCCAGCACATGCTGGTCATGTGCTGGTTTATGCTGGTCCAAGGACCAGCATAAACCAGCACATGACCAGCATAAACCAGCAAAGGGCCAGCTTAAACCAGCAAAGGACCAGCTTAAACCAGCATCCCAGCGTCAAAACATACCTAACCAGCATATGCTGGTTTTTTCAACAGGGCTGGAACAACGTTTCTGGCAAACTATAACCAATGTTGATTTATACTAAATAATTGAGTTGATAGTTGTTGCACGACAAACAAGCTTCATTGTGCTTTTTGTTTGATTGGCTACTGTATGTAGTGCACTACACTATTATACTGTATTGAAGACCCAATGACTGAAATACCCCCCCCCCCATTGTCATTGGAATCACTGTTTTCCCTGTTTGTTCATTTTGCTGTGTGCATTAGAGTTATAAACACAGCTAAACGTTTAGTGTCTATTTTATAATTGCACATCAAGTGTTTTTGTCTGTTTTGCGCCCTCAGCTAATAGGCTAATATCGTGTGCAAGTGGATGGCTGGTCTTCATTGTGTGCTATATGAGGCTAAAGTGAAATTTGTGATGTTAATAGCATTATTCAAAATCACTTATGTGTCAAATGTTTTCATTTTACTCACGGCAATAAACAAAAGCATTTCTCTGCACTACAAGGAGTAGACTACATGTCTCACTTTTTCTGTGGATTTTAGTTTTATTCAGTAGCATGACACTGTGCTGCCCTCTTGTGACAAACTGGAAGCGATTTCTTCAAAACGAAGCCCGAAGGAATAGGCAATGATTTCCCGCCCAAATAGGTTCCTATTGCTCATAAGGGACTCTAAAGATGTTGTTTATATAATAAATAATATACCCGATTATAACAATGATGGGAAATCAGACAAGATCTATTATATTAATGGATTTTGTGGAAATGACAAAAACATCTCATAAGTGTTTTTTTTTTCTTATTTGAACATAATTTGCTCGTGAAGTGCTCTGCTGTGATACCTTAAGGTTTCTATGAGTTCCAGTCCAT